TGCACAGGAACAAGAAGTTCAAGTGCAAAGCCCACAAGAGGGTATAAATACCCCCCTCTCTCAACTCCATGTGTTCATCTGCACTAGGACCATGTGCTTGATGGTTCTGCTTCATTAGAAAACATCTTTCCAGTCAGCATCCATGTTTTCAGTGTCCTTCTCCCCACTTGGAACTGAACCAGATGGATATTTCTTCCATCAACCTATTGTGACCACAGCCCATGGCCACGGAGCATCAAGATTTAACTGAAGATTTAAAGCAGTAGACTGTGCCAAGCCTTTACAGACCCCCCTGTGACATCACAGCCTTCCAGGGGTCTGCGGACCACAGGTTGAGAACCACTGTCTTAGGTTATTCTACCCCAACCAAGGGGTAGAAAAACCTAGGATGAAATTAAGAAGTCTACTTTGCATGTCAATTTGAACTCCTAGAGTAAATGCATGAAATAATAAATGTATTATTACATTTACAAAAAAGGCAAACCATAAATATCTTACCAAGTACTATCAAATGGACTCTATGAGTTTCAATACTAGGAAGCTTCTTCACTTTACATTGGTATATACCAGTATCTTCTGTTTTTAAATTTAAGATATCAATGCTTGCATTTCCAGATGCTGGATTTTGTTTAGCAAATTGTACTCGTCCCATCAAAAGATATTTATCATAAATTTTGCCTTCATTATATATGATAACCTGAATGGAAAAAAAGAAGATTCATTAAGCTACAGTGGTGCTTAAAAGTTTGTGAAGTCTTTTGAATTTCACAAATTTCTGCATAAATATGGCCTAAAACATGATCTGTTCTCCACATAAGTTCTTAAATTAGATGAAGAGTGCCCTGTCAAAAATATACTTGTTAATTAGTTATTGAAGAAAATGGTCCAAAGCATATTTCTGTGTAGCAAAAGTATGTGAATATCTAGGATTATCAATTCATTTAAAGGAGAAATGTCAAGTGTTTTAATCAATAAAAAAATAACCAGCCGTATGGGAGGTCCTGAATAATTTAAAGAACAAAGTAATTCTGGATATTCACTATCAAAGTCTGATCTGCACAACAGGGTGGTGTCTCCACAAGACTTGCATCATGCTTGGTAGCCAACTGAGAGTAAATCCAAGCGATTTTATCTGCTAGATGCCTGGAGAATTCTTCCATATGGTCCTGCAGGTTGATCTTTGGGTCACCCTTTGCAATAAGAGTCCATGTATAAACAAGGCCGCTGTTTAGGACGCATTCAGTGGATGCAATAAGACCAGGAAAATATTGATACTTTGCCACTTTTACTGTCACAAGGTAAACCTTAACTGTGGCCTTAACATGTGCTTAGTCAAGTTCATTCTTTGTTTTCTTCCAATGGTACTCTAGGGTCTTTTGAACGTTTTAAGTTTATTATGTTTTTTACTCATTTGTTTAACTGCGTTTTCTTTACCTACTTTTAGGACTTGTGTGACAAACAGAACACATTTTAAACCACTGTGTGTCTTAGCTATAAATAATCTGTTCAATATACTTCTCCAAAGTGCCCTAGAGAAGGATACAGTATTCTCATTAAGAATTTAATTTACAATGCACAGAGCCTAAATTCAAAATGAATATTATATCTACACGATGATTTCTACTTACTGGTTCTTCCCCTTTTGGTGGAAAAATGCTCCATTCAATTTCAACTGGGGTTTCATCTGCTGTAGTGAGAGTAAATGTGCACAACAGTGTAACTTTATCTCCTTGAGCTTTTGTAACCATAGTCTGTTCTGTTGATGTTATTGTTACACCTTCAATTAGATCTAGGAAAAGTATTATGAAATCAAGTATATATGATTCAATATCTTAAAAGTTAAAGACAACATCTTAAAAACACATGTATCATT